TTGCTGATCAAATCTTTATATATAAATATCATTAATTTCACTGTGTTTTTGGGTACATTTGTTTTACTTAACTTATGAACTTGTTTGAATTATTATTTTCGGCCATTTCGGACTCCCGTTTCTCTTCGTTGTTCGTTTGCATTTTTTTGCTCCAAGAACCCATAAAATAGAAGGTAATTGTAATTATTATAATTATTGTTGTTAGAACGACATTGGTCGTCTATTTGTAATTAATTTTTTGGTCGATTTTGTGATTTGGAATAAACTTTGGTATCTACTTTGGAGTTTCGTTCTTATTTAATATTTGCAATCGTGAATTGCAAATAGATCGACAACCGTGCTTCAAAGGATCAAAAAGCAAAAAACTGGACGTAACAGAGGGTGCATGTTAAAAAAGGGTTAGGTGCATGTTTTGAAGGAGAAACCCAAGATTTGTACAAGGTATTTCGGTTAGGGTGGTGTCTAGGAACATTAGGTGGATGCCCAAGCAGGCTAGTGTTATGAGTTATCCCAGAAAATCTAGGCATCCTATTCTTTTTGTACGCAATCCAGGGTATAGGCTTTGGGTTAGAAACGGGGAGCCGCCTAAGGTTAGAATTTAGGGAGGTATTTATGGTATGAGTGTCCGTATACTTAGGAGTCTCAGGGTTTAATTTGAGAAGTATATTAGCGTCACGAGTATGGGAGGTAGGGGAAAAGCATTGTTGTTTATTGGGTTGGTTAAGTACTGAAGACTGATGGATAGGGCGAGTAGCACGTTTCATGTGGGAATTTTGAACCACTAGGTCTGTGCCTTTATCTTTAGGACAATGTTTGTATATCACAGAAGTGCGATTGACTTGTGGTTTTCTTGTAGATTGGCTTTTGACTACAAAACAAGTTGCAGCACTTTTATTCAGGAGACAGGTCTTTGGACTAATAGTCACTTTGGATCAGTTCTCCGTTTTAAGTGGGAGGGTTAGGTAAAGTAAGGCTAATGTGACATTCGTGAACATAGCTGTTACTAGTGCACGAGCTGGCTGGCATAGTTGGAAGGTCACTGGTATTTCGGGGTTAAATTGTAGTTGTAGAAATATTTATTACTCTTGCAGTGCTCTTAAACTGGAAGGTGCAGGTCCACACGTGTGTTGCCCAGTTCAAGTCCAAAAATATAAATTCTAGAAAAGAACGGTTCTATATTTAATCAAAAATGGAAATACAAACAATTACCAAAACAATATTACACCGAGTTTCTAATCCCAACAATAAGTTCCGATGCTGGGAGAATAAGTGCTTCCAGTCAGTATCAACGAGCAGCTGCTAGAGTATCAAATTCAAAAATGGCTGTAGCCATATCAAGTATCAACTTTAAACAACACATACATAGTTCAGAAGAAAACATAGAAACTTCAATATAAGTACAAGATAAAGAAATAATGGCAAGATACAAATGATAAAGTCCCAAAATGGGATCAAATAAAGTACCAAAATATCGAACAGAAAAATCAGTCAGATCATTACACAAATATATATACATGGAGGGATTTTCCAAAACAAGGCCTTCAAATTAGATTTTACACCGGCCCGCAAAATCACTTCGTACAAGTCAAGCTCTTCTAACTTTTCAGCTTAAGGTCCACTCACATTCACTAACCCACACCAGAAGAACGAGTAGGAATTAAAGCAGTACGCCTACCCGAACCCCTGCGCTCGTATGACATGTAGTTCGACCCTTCTAGGAGACACACTTTTCGTATGTCTTTCCTCACTACCCCGTTATTGGTACGAACAATTTCTGTTCTGACCTTTCCGTCTTCATCCGTCTCACAGTCCTCTATTATTGCTAATGGCCATTTTCCCCGAGTAGCAATATCTGAGGCTACAAATACTACATCTCCTTTCTGGAACTTGCGGTGTTTCTTAAGCGTTTTTTGACGAGTTTGTAAAGACGGTAAATACTCATTTAGCCACTTTTCAGTATTCTTAATGTAGTATAGCACTATCAAGGAATCCGTATGGAAATTCACTTCACAGAGGAAGTTGGGCAGACATTTCCGTATCACCTCACTCAACCTCACACTTAAAACCTCTGCCGCCATCTCTAATCTCGGTATCGTAACTTGCTTGATAGGTGCTACTCTAGACTTGCTGTACAATAAGATACAGTAGGGTTTTGTCTTCGCATAATTTACCCGAGCATAAGCAACTGCTCCGTAGCCAATCTCTGAGGCGTCGCTGAATAAGTGCAACTCTACCTTCACGTCAGGTTCGTCGACTCTGTTCTTGATTTCTCGAGCAACCGTAACGAGATCCATCTGACGCATGAAACTTAACCACTCTAGCCACTTGGACACGTATGGTTCGTCGAGAGGTTGATCTCATCCTATTTGAGATTTACATAACCCTTGCCAAATTAGTTTAGCCGTAAGGCACACTGGGGCAATCAAACCCAAAGGATCAAAAATCAATATACACAAATATATATGCATGGAGGGATTTTCCAAAACAAGGCCTTCAAATTAGATTCTACAGTAGTTCTTGTAAATGGATTTTCTACCGTAGCAGTTCAAATTGTTTCCAGTAAGTGCAATTCGAACGCGTTATCTCCCAACCCAATGTCCAAAAACACAATAATTCTAGGAGAAAACGGTCTATATTATATTAAAAAATGGAAATACAATTCAATACCTGAATATGGATGCACTTTCCAAGTCACAATTACTCCGAGGAGTATCCGAGATTAGAAAGGACTAAGTGATATTAAATCCAACCGCCACATTATCAATCCAAATATGGCTGTAGCCATATTAAAGATCAAATTTAAACAACATATATACAGTTCAGAAGCAAACATAAAAACTTCAATATAAGTACAAAATATAGAAATAATAACAATATACAATGATAAATCTCAAATTGGAATCAAATAAAATACCAAAATGTCAACAGAAAAAGTCCGTCATGTCATAACAAAAATATGTAAACATGGAGGGATTTTCCAAAAAACAAAACATTAAAAAAGGATTCTACAGTTGTATTACTGATAATTCCAATTTCCTTAGATATGGTATGTTTCTGAATAGTGACTGACTATTAATGAAGTGATTGGTCTCCATGACAGTACTAAAATGAAGATGAATGGGACTGGAAAATTTAGTCTGAACTTTGAGTAGCCTGCGTGCTACACGCCAAGAGTGGGACAATCCACACTTTATAAAGAGAGTAATTTTAACAGACTTTAGGCTAGCACTGTCTGGAACGTTGTAAACAATGGCATTCTGCATGCATTGAAGTCCTTTGAACAGTTCAGAGGATAGATGGTCAATTACCATTTCGGTTTTTTTAATGATTTCTAGATCAGGATTTTCGGTTACACTGTCCAAGTACTTGAAAGTTAGTAGATCCTGAATGGTTTGGTTGGGATCGAGTGCGCCTAAAGTGTCCTTAGAATTATTAGTGACGAATGTACTGGGGTTCATTTCGCAACTGTTAGGGTGAATCGGAAAGTGATCAGACTTGCTACAATTGTTTTGCGGTTGCTCTCTCTGCGTAAGGTCATCTGCGTTAATGTCCGTACTCTCAGAATACTACATAAACCTAGTGCTGAATGATGCCTGACGGATTATCCATAATACCCCTGACTTCGTATTAAGGAAACCAGGAAACGAAAAATATCGGTGCATCTAATATTTTCAGACTGTGCAAAAGCCTTTAACAAAGTACCTCAAGCTATCGTAATTGTGAAAGTTGAGGAAATCGGATTCAGTGATCCACTCCTATCTAGGCTTAAAACTACCTTAGAAAAAGCAGGTTTCGTACCAGGGAAAATAGAGTGCACGCAAGTTGGCGAGTCTGAACACCGAGAGTCCTAAACTGGACCATCAAAGGTTCAGTTCTCGCCAGCATCGACTTTGCCTGACGACGGAAAGATCTAAAGGTCCACTAGAAGCGAACCGGATTTGATTGAGTACCAGGAGGATCTAACACAAATTGGAGAATCAACAGTGAAATAAGGTTAAAAAATAGACATTTCGAAATCCCACTTCATCGTTATTTTGCCCTGATATTGTGATAGCTGTTGGTGTCCAGAAACCCGACTGCCCTGAAAATAACGTATTCATTCATATCACAGCACATACAAACTCATAAAGTAGCAGTAGATCGTGGAGTGCCTACAAAAGACCTAGAACAGTAACGATCGAACACGAAGAAAGCGTAGAGAAACGAATTGGTTTTGCACTAGCTCGTGCAATGCATAATGGACATTGAATTGACAGACAGTAACCAAATGGATGATAGGGTTGAAGAATGAACCTTACGAAGATGAGGAACAGCATTTGAGATTACTCTACCTGAGTTACAGTAGAATGGGAGGTGATCCGATTATGGCGTATTACATATTATCCACGTCGAAAGGTCCTAACGCGAGCACCATACCGATGCATCATCACCACTAACCACAAGGCAATCCTCGAAAAATTACATCTTCCACTCAGATCACAAACTCGATCTGTTCCACTTATTAGCTCTGTTTACTCTTCTTTGTTTACACGTTACTCCCCTCGCACGATCTTCACTACTGGTTCGGTAACTGACTTATCTATTTATCAACAGACTTCTGAAGTCTTCCCATCAGTACTAGAATTTTTTCCTCATTATTCTCCACGTTGCAACTTACTGATGACCGGCATGAAATTTCGATAGCTGCTGGTATCTGGAAACCCTACTGCTTAGAAAAAAACGTTTTCATTCAGATCAAGGAGCATACAAACTCACAACCAACTCCGAAATGACTAGAATTAGACGGTCGAGTGACTAGATATCCATCAAGTGAACTTTATTCTATTCATTAGACACTGCCAAACAACTGAAAACCTACCGAAAGAACAAGGGCCAAGTGTGAAGAAATCAACTTGTTTTGAATAGCTTGAGAAAAAGAGCTTGGATATTGTACATTTAATTTGTTCAGCTGACACGGCAGACACTAATATTCGTATTGGAGCGCTGGAAGAGAGTTTAAAATGGAGGAACGTAAAAATAACGTACAGGTAATAAGGGTAAACACTATTAGTTATTTGTGTTTTTGGTAAAGCTTTAGTAACAACAGTTATGTAATAGACAAATTCACATACGGATTTATACCTAAATTCCTTCCCACGTTATAGACATATAAGTTATTTATTTTCAACCAGCATCGATCGACCACCAACATTCATATAGTATGATGGACGAAAATATTGATTAGATGCTGTCAGTTTGTGATGAAACTGTTATCGCGAATAAACTCAATTTTCGTAAATAACATAGTGAGCCACGAGAGAACTATCGTTTGATTGATGTTATGTTGAGATGCAACGTAGAAGCAATCGAGATTGGTAGTTAGTTAATGTTGTTGAATGGCAAATTCAAATCACTTCGCGTGTGTGCATCACAAACTGTATTTGTTTGTATAGAATAGATGTGAATCTAGTGGAAACACTGGTAATGGTAAATGTGGCCTTAAATGTTTTCCACAAGTGCAACTGCATTTAGATTGCAGTGAATATTTGTTTTAAAGTTGAACTTAGTAAACATCAGCGTGATAACAGGTCCCTGAATACGTTTATTCTTGACATACCAAAAATTGGCCCACCACTTTTCTCGATCATTGCGTAGGCTTTTGGTTAGCCTGCGCCTAAGCTGACTCCGCTCCTCAGAGCCAGGAGGGGTGAGTTTTCGAGCATCCATCAGTTCGGTAGATGGTACGGAGTTCCACGGCTTCATTATAGCCTTATGATTTACTTTACTAGCAGGTATCACTGCTGTTTCCACAGCCTTTTCGATATTATTCCAACCTGCTTCCGGATTGGAATCACTTATATGCTGCGTAACTCCCTTTCTAGTTGCTCCTGAAATATATCCTTAGCTTTATTATCATTGCGTAAAACCCTGGGAGGCTTTCTCACGGTGTTTCCTACGTCCAGTATGCCTCAAACAAATACGCGCTCGCACTAGGACATGATCTGAATCTAAACATGTGTCCTAGAACGTGCGACAGTCCTCTACTGAACCCCACCCCATCGGTGGCTGATGGCAGCGTGATATAGTTGGGTCCACTGTTACATACTCCTATAGTTAACATTAACCTCGTCAGGTTTTTCTGGAGTACATCTATTTGAAGGCTTGTTTATTGACTTAGAATATACCGATGACATAGTTCTACTCGGTGAAGACGCTGACAAAATGCAGTCTTCTGACTACCCTAAGCAACAATGCAAGCATGTTCGGGATGCGGTTTTCCCCCTCGAAATGCAAAATGTTGCTTGAAGATTGGGTCGCATCGGCACCTGAACTAGTGATAAGGAGTGAAATAGTCGAGCGTGCTGATGACTGATGAAATCTCAGCACGGATACAGAAAGCTCGAATGACTTTTGCCATCATATGGTGTAGGCGAGATATCCGTTCTTCAACCAAAGGACGGTTGTACTGAGTAGCAGTTCGCTTCGTTCTGATATATTGATGCGAAACATGACCGTTTAGAGTAGAAGATATTCGTAGGTTACTGGTATTCGGTCATAGATGACTCCAAAGCATTGCTCGTGTATCGTGGGACAATTGAGTGAGCAATGCTGTCGTTATGAAACGAGTACTAGTTAAGGATGGCAAATAAATAGATGAAGTAATGAAACACCATCAGTTGAAGTGGTTGGGACATGTGTTGCGAATGCCAAACTACCGACAGCCTCGGCGGGCTATGTTTTGTGGTGTAGGAATAGGCGGCCAGACCAAAAGATGGTAGAAATCCACGAAGTCACTGACAAGTGGACCGAGTCATGTTGGTAGATGTAGGCTACTTGGTTGGGGGTCAGCGAGACGAAAGTCATCAGTGGTTAGAGACGTTGAACGACATGGCTTAGAATCGTTAGCAATGGCGCAAGTGCGTCCATTCGTTGTGCTCTCTCAAATCCTAATCTTCTGGATTCATTAGCACCTCTACGTTTGTCTTACTAACCTTATCTCACTGAATTATACATCTTGAATAATATCTTCAAACCCTAGTCTTCCCATTTACGATTATTACCTCTACTATCTCTATCACTATTGGATTTGATTTGACATTTGCCTCTCTGTGCTAATGTGGTATGGCAACCTGAACTTATCAACATACGTACAAAGTTCTACGTTGCAACCGACTGACTTATTGTGAATATGGTAATCGATTGTTTTTGGTTGTTATTTGGCAACTATGTAAGAAGAAATAACTTTCTTTCTATTGCAGATGGAAAGAAGATTGTGGCAAATTGAACGAATGATTCAGCAGCAATCCAGACATGTAAGTATCCATTTTAATAATGCTTGTTTTTGTTGAGTAGATGTGAATGTAGTGGAGATAGTCGTGATGGTAAATGTGGCGTTAAATGTTTTCCACAAGTGTAACTGCATGTTGATTGCAGTGAATATTTGTTTTAAAGTTGTACTTAGTAAACATCAGCGTGATAAACATTTGTAAATTGTGTAATTGCATGTTTTGTTGGACATTCTGTCACTATTTATGTGACGTTTGTGACGTTTTCAACGTATACTTAGACTTCGTAATTTGTTCGTATAGGCAATGGTCACCAAATAGTGCCTCACGGTTATAAGTCGGAATGCAAAACGAGGGCACTGAATACGTTTATTCTTGCCACACCAAAAATTGGCCAGCAGACCAAAAATGCACGGATTAGGGCAAGCACACTGGCGAGCGAATTCATGAATTCGTGATTGGATGATTGTAGTGGAATGGAGTAGGCTAGTGAGCCGATTCAAGTAGATAAAGCATCACTTATATTGTGTGATCAGACAAAAATACCGTTGACACGTAATAAGTGAGATAGGCAAGCACATGAACGAATAAAAGCGACGAATTATTGACAATGTCAAGAGACAAGTGTAACAAGTCATCTGAACTACAAACTAAATCAGTCAGCAGTGTTATTAGGCAACACAATGACAAGAATTTACCATAAAATGTTACAATTGTATTTTGCACTAATTCTCAACCATTGCTTTATCTATTCATTTTTTTTCTAGAGCGGAACTCTAAGTCCGACTGAACAATTCATCACTGATGTAAGAATAGATTCAAATAAGTTTGAACTGATGTTGTTGTGTTATTTGTAAACTTTTCTGTATTTGACTGTTTGTATATCTTTGTCAGAATAATTAACTGTAAAAAATTATAGATTCCTACACTTTTTCCTTATTTTTGCCATAGATTTTGCGAATTTGGAGAATAAGACGTATTTATAATAATATATTGCAGTGTCTGCCCGATAATGTGAGTATCATTTTGAATAATTTTCAACTGATGTTACTGTGTTAGTTGTAATTTTTTATATACCTGTCTGTTTGCACATAATTGAACGCAGTTACTTGTTTCAACAGCATATTCCAAGTAACAGATACGAAATAGCATTGAAAGTGATAATGTTTTCTGTGAGTAATCAAGAGTAGAAGTTAGCCGTTGTTGTTGTTATTATTGAATGGTGAATTCACATCACTTCATGTGTGTTTGCATCACTACTCTGTATTTGTTTGTGTGTAGAATTGATGTGAACGTAGTAGAGACACTGGTGATAGGATATGTCATCGTTATGTTTGATTGTGTATCGTGTCATTGGTTTTATTGTGGTAATTTATTTTACTTCCTTAATGAGTTAAATATTGTGGCCATATGAAAACAACAACTTAGTTTTTGTTCTCTGGTCATTAATAATCTTTTATCTAATGTTTTTTATTCTGTGCCTTCAGTATCGCCTACTTTTGAGACGTGCTGTTTGGGTTATTTTCACGCTGCATGATTTGTGAGTTACTTTGTTTTGTCTATATTGAAATTTTACTATCCATTTTTCAAATGATTCAACTCAGTTAATTGTTTCATTCAATAGCCTTATTGTTCGATCACTTTCATTGATAATTTGATATGTTATGAAGTCAGGAATGTTGTATATTAATTGAATGTGATGTGATTGATGGTGTCATTTGGTTGAATGTAGTTTATTTTTTAATACAATTATTTCGTTTCCATAAGATTTGTTAAACCGGTGAACAATTGATCAATTACGTATTCCCACTGTTCTTTTAAATGTGATGTTTTATGACAACAGAAACTTGAAAATGAACATTAATTTCTGTTTGTTTTTTTCTGCAGTTGCGAAATTTGTTTATATGCCCGCAATACATTCCGACGATAATAACGGAACTGCATTTATATTTCTAGTTTTTGTTCATTATTTTTGTTTAATTTGTTTCTCTATACTGACTTTTATAGCGTACATACGCTTAGATTTCACTTGTTATTTTTTATTTATTTTTATGTTTTCTTATAATATCATATCAATAATAAATTTTAGTTTATTGTTTGAATTTGTGTTCTGATTTTGCTTGTAATGGTGAAACATTGTGGTTGTTCAAGTTGTTTATATATATATATATATATATATATATATATATATATATATATATATATATATATATATATATATATATATATATATAGTTCGTTCAAACTGACATCACAAACTGTTCATATGATAATAGACTTATTTGATATGTATACTAATTTTATGATTTGAACAACTTACTAGGTTAGAGAAGTGATTGAACTTTTGGGTTGTATTAATTATTTACCCGAATATGATTATTAGAAGAGATTAAGTGTATAAAGATGTTTATATATATCATGAAACCACATGAAAAGTGACTGCTGAAAGTGGTGAAACAAGTTTTGAAAGAATTCTGCACTCTGTTTTTATCCACAAATGTTGAGAGCAGTGAGGTTTGTAGTTATTGAATGTTCTAAAACAATCCAGTCCATCCATTTTTGATCGGGATCCATCTGGAGAGTCTTATGAACTTATTGTCCCACACAATTGTCCTCTAGACAACTCAGATACACTGAATCAGTTATTGTTTCTACAATTTCAGTTTTCTTCGTTATGGATGAATAAGTGATATAAGTCAACTTCCGGACTGGTAGTGGTTCAAAGATTAACATTGGGTTAACGGAAATTCAATAAACTAGAATACTAACAGGTGACCTACTATCACAGGGACGAATTAAACGATTAATAAAATATCATTTTGATCAAAAACACTTGATAAATCTTTAGAATAGCTGATTTGACTCTAAAAGTCTACTAGAATCTCTTATTTTGGTGTCGGAAAGTATTTGTATGCTGATAAATGTGCTGTTATTCAACTGTGGTAACTCACTGAAGCATAATGGTAGCAAATCTGAATAGATTTCCAATGGACACATGTGCTTACTAAAGGCAGCCGAAGTTGATCTGATATTAACTGAACCCTATAAGAAACAGAAAATGTTTATGACATGTGAGCATGTGATTATGGAACAACTAGTTTGTTAGTATAGACACGGGAATACAACGCAGAACTTCGTACGTACGTACATGAGTTCAGGTTGCCATACCGCATTAGCACAGAGACGCAACTGTCAGTTCAAACAACATAGTGGTATTGATAACAGAAGTATTAGCAGTAGTGGAAAAGATCAGGGTGCGAAGATATGACTTGAGAAGTATAATTCAGTGATATAAATATAGAAAGTGAAAGATAGAGATGATGAGTAACTCTGAAGGTTAGATTTTGAGAGAACACTAAGTGGATGCACTTGCATCATTGAAAACGATTTTTGAGCCATGTCGTTCAAGGTCCCTAACCATTGGAGTCTTACATTTTGCGCATTCCAACCAGTTAGCCTACATTTGTGTGCTGATGGTTTAGTGGTCTATTTGTGCTGCACCAAATGAAAGTCTTCAACACTTCGCATTGTTCTTTTGGTTTTACCAACCGAGTGGCGTTATTTAGTAGTGGTTTTCTAAACGAGTAGTATGCGAAGTCTAGGAACTTGTGGAATACCGACTGCCCTGAAACTAGTGAGGCACTGGCCACCGGAAGCTCACTGAGATATTGAGTCACTTATATTAGTGGCTGTATGGCGACCTGCTAGCAGTTCTCTTCCGAAAGTACTATACCTGGTTTCAGTGTGACCTAATTTCTTAGAAGAGAATGAAATCGGTTCCCGACTACCGTTTAAGAACTACTGCAACATGGCTTCGACAGTGATGTTCAACGCGTCAGTCATGATGGCTATTAGAGCTTCGCTTTTTCGGCGTTCTAACATCGTCTTTTACTTGAGCACGCAATCAGCGTTCTCGAATGTTTGTATAGCGTCTGCTGACTAATGAAATGTTTCGGCACATCCTAGCAAACCGTCAGTAGAGCAGTTCCGAATGTATCATCTATCATAGTTGATTATCTGAAGATTTAATTCTTAACTCGTGACCGTAGCTGCCACCTTGAAGAGGTGGTCGGGCTTGCCTATCGTGATGACGCAACCGAGCTATTCTGGCAGGAGCATATGTTCCTGGAGGTTCTAGCATGCCAGGCAGGTCGATTGGAGAATGTTGAGACTAAAAGCATCTACTCACGTTCTGAGGGCGAAGTCGTACTGCTGACTGCGATTGTTTGTGACAGTAGTAGGGTGTCTCCCTCGGACAACTAACATCAGCAGCGAAGCTGCCTTCTCACAAGGAAGGAAGTCGTTAGCAAAGGTCGACCCTAAAAATGTCACACCTCACCCTCACTCACGGATTTCCGTCACCGGCCAGAGTATTGCCCAATGAGGGCTTCCAAAATAGCAGAGCTACGATTCTACAAAACAACGCCAGTGGAACCTTCGGTGCTACTCCCGGTCCCAACCCCGGGTAAAGGAAGAGGGTTGGACATGTGGTTGGCCACCCCATTCCGTCGAAATCTAACTTGACGTCGCGTGATGAAAGCAGAGTTCCCTCTGAAGTCACGGGGACGATGCCTCTTCTGACAACCAGAGCAACCATTTTTTTAGGTACATGGAACGTTCGTACATTGTGAGAGACTGGAAGACTATTTCAAGTTGCGGCAGAAATGAAAAGGTACAACCTCGTGGTGAGAGATTTGCAAACCTATGTGCCTTCAACAAACTGGTCATCGATGGCACAATATTCCCACACAAACGCATACACAAAGCCATATGGATTTCACCGGACCACACTACTCAGAACCAAATTGACCATATCTGTATCAACAAAACGTTCAGAAGGACCATGGAGGATGTGAGAACCAGGATAGGAGCTGATATAGCTTCAGATCACCATTTGCTGATCGCCAAAATGAAACTGAAACTAAAGAAGCACTGGACAACGGGGCAGACAACATCACAGAAGTTCAATACGGCCTTTCTTCGGGATACCGTAAAACTCAACGAATTCAAGGTAGCCCTCACCAATT